TGTAAAGCACAGGAGTTATCAAGCAGGATTCTCTTGCCACAGAACAGGTACAGCACAGACAGCAGGATTTACATTTCCTTCATGTTGTCTTCCTGCCTTAAAAACCAACTTCATTCTCATGGGAAACACTTCCAGCTCCCATCATCACTTTTAGCTCCTCAGAGTGCAGAGGTGATGAGCTGCTGGGAGAGGAGGGACTGAGGGCACTTTGCTCCTCCTGAAGGTCCCTGCAATGACCTTACCTGCAGAAAAAGCCACTGCAGAGCTGAGCAAGCAAACACTGGGGCAGTGATGACCTCGGGAAAGCAGGGACTGGTTCCTTGGTCACTGAAATTGGGTGTGTCTGTCCCCAGTTTGGATCTCAATGCAGCCCATTGAAGTCTGCTTTTATCATCAAAAGGCCATGTCTGGATTGGCACCAGAGATACCCATGTAAAACATGTAAAACCATGTAAAACCATGTAAAACATGTAAAACCATGTAAAACACAGCATCTCTGTCAAGGCTGGTTTGCTGCAGGGGCTAGAAAGGAAGTTTAAGGTGGCATCTCCTTGTAGTCACTTCTTCAAAGTCATTTCCATCTCTGGTCCTGCTGGGATCTCTCAGCTTTCCTCATCTTTCCCCTGTTTTACCATGGACTGTTTTGCTTTTGGGAAAACAAGCACAACCCATCCCTCAGGTGTGGCCTCTTCATCAGGTGCTGAATGAGCTGCACCTTTCTGATCCCTTAGCACTGAGCGGCTGCTCCTCGCCTTGGGGCTGAAGGTCCTGCACTGGTCCTGCAGCAGGTTCTCCACGTGCCTGGAGAGCTGAGTGCCATGCCTTTGGAGAGTGTGTCCCCTCCTGTGCACACTTCTGGGATCGCTGCTCTGCTCTGCCCTGCTGAGCTGTGCAGGGGTTAATGAGTTCCTGCTTACACAGCTTTTTGAAGATGAAAAGTGCCGTGGAAGGGCTCTGTTATTGTTACCACGTATGAAGAGGTCTGTACCAGACCCAACCGTATTGTGTTTGGCCACTGGATGTCACAGCTGCTCAACACACAATGCAGCTGAAAGCAGAAAGGAAAAGTGCTTACCCAGCAATGGGCAGCAGCAGTTTCCAGAGCCTTTACTTGTTCTGTGCACTGTGTTGGTTTGTTAAGGGGCTTGGGGTCTTCTCTGTTTGTGCACTGCTAATGTTGATTTTCAGAGAGATGGAGCAGCAGTTGTGCTTCCCCTGCCTGCCATAACACCGGGAGATGAGGAGCAAGCTGGGCATTTTTAGGGGGAGCAGTGCAGACACGTATAAAGCACCAATTACACCGAGAACAGGTATTGGCACACGCTGCCCAGCCGCCTTGCCACTGAGTTATTCCTTCTCTGTCCCATCCAGAGCACAGCACAGAGCCCTGGGATGATGGAAACATTTCTCCAAGGCTCTCTCTGGGCACAGCTCCTTCCATCCCCACGCTCAGACCACATTCCAGTGCTCCTCACACTCAATGCAGTGGCAAGTTTGGCCTCCCCCTTCCTGATCCTGCCTTCAGCCTTTGCTTTCTTCCAAAGTCTCAAGCAGAGATCCAGAACATGAAATCCCCTTTCAGCAAAGTCTGTAGAGCAGCCCTAAAGAGACATTACAAGAGCTGTAATGACATTTCCTGGAAATGAAAATGAAGAGGGATTATTTGACCATGTTCTCTCCTTTTTATAGCATCACATTGTCCTTTTCTCCACCTTGGGGAAATGGCAGTGAAAGGCTGCTCCTGCCCATGGTGCAGCGAGGTGATAACCACCCCAGAAGTGATGTGAACATTAAAAAGGGAAAACTATTTTAAGATAATCCAAGGGTTACGGCTATAACTAAGAGTAATTGGCTGAAACTGAGCAAAAGAAAATTTAGGTTGACAATGAGCTGCAGGTAGCTAATGCTGAGATCTGTTAGACCGTGAAATGGAATTCGCAGAGGAAACCTCTCTGCTTTCAAATGGGCAAATCCTGCCTTTAGGAGCACTGGTGTAGATCTCTGGTGTCTATCTTTGACTGCCTCAAAGCCCATTTCTTCCACAAAGCTTCAGCAGAATCATAAAGGTGTCTGAATTTATATCAGAAGAAGGTAAGAAGGTGTCCCTGCCCATGGCAGAGGGTTGGACTAGATATTCTTTAAGGTCCCTTGCAAACCAAACCATTCTGTGATTCTATGATTAAATTTAGTCAAATACATCAAAATATTGTATAAGATGAAGGAGGTCTAAAGGGATTGTGTGAACTGGAGAAATGAATTCCAGTGCTTTTCTACCTCTGTGATCTCTGTTTGTACTTGAAAACCAGGGGCAAAAAGAGAAGAAAAAAAGAGAGCATGGGCAAAATATCAAAGAAAAGAGGGCCAGTTTTGGAAATAAGATGTAGAAACATTACAGGAATAAAAGACTCTCGTGTTTCAGTCTGCACAGCTATTGTCAGCTTTCCTCATGGGTCTGGGCCTGCCAGCACTGGCTGATCTTTGCCTTTCATAAAACTTATGTAGGCTCTGGATCCCTTCACTCATCCAGCACATCCTCAGCAGAGAGAGCTCTGTTTGAAAAGGTTTTAGACTCACTTAGAAAAACCTGCATGGCCTGATTGAAGGCACTCTGTCCATCTCACTTCAAACAGCCTGTTCCTGGTCAAATGTTTGCTGGGCTGGGGAGTGATGCAGCTCTTACTGCAAGCCCTGATGGAATTCCTGCTGATTCAGAGGCAGAGGAGTTAACCCTTTCAAGTTCTGGGTCAAAGGAGCACCGAGGTCTGAGCCAGCTGCTTCAAAGCCACATCAAGGTTTTAATGTGGCCACCAATACTCAGAATGTCAGACTTGAGCTGAGCTTTAGGCCAGCGAGGACAGAGAGAATAGCCTGGGAGAAGCAGGATTTAAAAGATGGCAAAGAGTCAGGGGAAACTGTAGAGATAAAAGTGAAGTGCATGGAAGCCAACGATGTGGGATAAAAGGCTTATTTCCTACTGCAGTCCAGGCGGGAGGGGGAAGGCTGAGGTCGGTGTGAAAGTTCCCTGCCTCTGGGAAGAAACCGTGCCACGGATATTCATGGCTGAGACACAACATCAGATTTTCTCTGGCTAAATCTCTGTGCAGAGATGAGTCCTGTTCCAGTCTCCACCTGTGAACCCCCAGCTTACCTGAGGCTCAGTGCTGCTGTGCTACCTGGAGTTCCCAGGCACTGTGTCCATTCTTCTCTCCAGCAATTATGTCCAGGTAACAAAAGAGCTGACCAAGACAAGCCTCAGGCCAGCCAGGTTTAATGCCACATACATTAAAAAAGCTCTAAGAACCAGCAACCAGTGGTTGATATGGGCAGTACTTTATACAGGAGGACTTCCATAACATTCAGCTCGTAGTTAGAAGCTCAGTGTCCAAAAACATTTAAAGAACTTAATTAAAAGTATTGTTCTGTCCTAACCCCAAAACAAATTCATGCTTTGTGCCCTTAGTAAATCCTTTCAATGGATTGCTCTGTCTTCACAGAATCACAGAATGGTTTGGGTTAGAAGGGACCTTAAAGACTAATAAGAATAATTTGAGCTAACACAGATGTGGGTTTTGGATATGCTGAGCGCCCACAGCTCCTGCTGATGTCAAGTGAAATGTCACAAATGTTGCAAATGCTCCATTAAAAATTAATTCACTGTCATCTCCAGTTTCCTGGCACTGGTACATTCCCAAATGGGCTTTATTTCAAGTCCTTTGTGCAGCCTGGGCTGGCTGATCAATGAAGCCCAGGCAGGGGAAGCAGCTTGTTGCTGTGGGACATCCATTCCCCGTCCCCTGCTGCACTCAGGGGCAGGTGACAGGAGAGATGCTCCAGTGCAGAGGTGACCTCCTGTGCCCGACCCTTCCTCACACCCTCCTGTGCTGCTGTGTGGAATCCTCAAGTGCAAAGAGGTATAAAACCCCCAAATTTCACCCTCAGCTAATTTCAAAGCCTATTTACACAACTGGATACACAAGGATTAAGAAGTGCATTGCAGGGCAGGTTTGCTTAGTTTGGTCCTTGCACAGTTCAGTGCAACCGTCAGAATAAATGACTTCTTCAGAGGAGAGAGGGAAAAAACACATTTGGTTAATCAGCTCAGTATTAATCAGCAGTCCCCAAAGATGAAATATGCACTGCACAAACCAGCAACCCAGGAAAGGCCTTTTTTATGTTAACAATTCACTTGCAAAGAATGAGATTTTGAGTAAAATACCTGCTTCTGTTCTTCAGCACAGAAATCCGAGTTCACGTGGCACCTGCAGCTCACCTGTGCCTCTTACTGTGGAATTGCTGTTTGTCATACTGTTGTTATTTGTAGAATCACAGAATGAGCAGACTGCCTGTGCTGCAGTGTCTTGGGGCCTGTCCTGCCCAAACTGCCACCCAAACTGTCCCACACTGTCCCAAACTGTCCCAAACTGCCCCAAACTGTCCCACACTGTCCCAAACTGTCCCAAACTGTCCCAAACTGTCCCAAACTGTACCAAACTGCCACACTGGGTCTCACCTTCTGTGCAGATCAGCCTGACCTGCACCCCAAACTCACCTCAGTTGCTGCCCCCTCACTGAGTGGATGAAAATCAACTTGTTCCTGAAAATATTTCCCAGTTTTGTCACAAGTGGCAGGGACACCAGAACAGAAGTGCTGGGATTTCACTGACCTGAGCTTTCTTGCCTCGTGTTAATATTGCTGCCTGTCGCCTAAAACCAACAGCCCAGCTGTGCTGCTTTTGTTGGAATCTCTAGCTCTTTTCCATAGGAGGTAAAAATTCCATTCCTGGGGAGATTTCTGCTCCCCTTTTGTTTTGGAACCATGGGTTTGGAGCTGGGGGCCAGGGCTGGGAAGAAAGGGCTGCCAGCAGTGTGTCATTCCTGAGGGAGGAGGAGGAGGCTTTTCAAAGGGAATGGCATTTGGTGACAATGGTGACACGAGACAAAAAGGCAGAAGGAGAATCCCTGGTCTCTTCCCTGTTCTGCCAAATGACTTTTACCACACCATGGACAAGTATTTGCTTGGGACACATTTTTAAGGAAATCAAGTGTCTGGAGAGATACAGAAGTCCACAGAGCATTTAGACACCTGTCACCTGCTATTTTTTATTTGAATTCCTGTATGTTTCTTGAAAAGCTATCAGGATTTCAGTCTCTTGTACGGTGCCTGTATATTTCAAGTCTACATAGCTTTTGAGAGCTCTGAATTTTTCAAAGGTTGCAAATCTCTCCCATTCAAAACCAGATTTTGAGTGATACGGGAAGGTGCTGAAAGCAATGCTTTAAATGCTGAGGCTCAGGGGTGTGGAGTGCTTTTAAACCCAGTCTCAGGAGTCTGGTTTTCAGAGGAGCAGAGTGTTTACAGTTTTGATTTCTAGTAAGATTGTGAACACTCTGAACTTTTGAAATCCAGCCCTGGAAATGCCTTCTGCCTCCTCGCTCTGGGCAAAGGGAAGCAGCTCTGAGGTCTGGGCTGGGCAGTTTTGCTCACACAGCTCTGTTGTACCGATCCAGGAATGTGTATCGGGAATGAATGGACAGGAAAAGCCAGCAGGGATGTGCAGGGGTCAGCCAGCGAGCCCAGGGCTGTGGCCATGGGGGAAACCTGTCCCTGTTTGGGGCCAGCTGTGCCAGGAGGGTCCCTGCAGCTGCCTGCCCAAAGCCACCCTGTGCCCTGTGTGCTGCTACTGCTGCTTGGGGAGGGTGAGGAGGAGGGCAGGAGGGCTGCTGAAAGGCCAGGCCAGGAGGGAATCAGTAATTTGGCTTCTCGGGGGTGTTAAATATTCGCTCCCTTGGCTGCAGGTACGACACAGACATGCTGCTGGCAGCGCTGCTGCTCCGCCTGCTCCTGGCACCCCTGAGCCTCTCCCACGAGCTGCCCTGGACCTACCAAGGTAAAAACAGGGCTGTCTTGGGCTCACTGCTGCTGCTGGAGAGGCCCCTTCCCTTCCCTTCCCTTCCCTTCCCTTCCCTTCCCTTCCCTTCCCGCACCTTCCCGCACCTTCCCGCACCTTCCCTT